CTGGCCCATAACTCAGTTATCTGAAAGAGAACCAAACATTTATCAGGTAACTGGCACTTGATAAGTTTTCGTTAGCTGACTTACACCCCACATTGGTTTTGTGTGCAAACATTTTGTTTCCTCTATGCTCAGTTGCTTCAATTTTCTTTTTTAATATATTTAATACAGGGCCTACAGGGTCTCACTACACAGATTGGACTCGATTCTCCTGCTTTCAGCCTCCCAGAAGCTGGGATTACAGGCTTATGCTACCACGCCCAGTCTCAGTCAATCGTGTCAAAAAGCCCCAGGCGTGGGGCCAGCACGACACGCGGGGAATGGAACCCTGGGTGCTTGTCTCTGCCCAAGCAGTCATTGTTAGTATGCTGAGCTACTTGGCCAGCCCTCGTTACTTCAAATTTAGGAAAATCGAGATCAGGAATATAGCTCAGTGGCATAGCGCCTGCCTCTCAAGCTCAAAGTCCTGAGTTCAATTCCCAGTACCAAAAATAAAATAATGAAATTTAGAGAATATGAAACTTAAAAACAGAGACACCTAAACTGGGCATGGTGGTATACTAATCCTAGCTCTTGGGAGGCTGAACACAGGCAGATCACTGTGAGTCCAATTCGCGTAGTGAGACCCTGTAGACCCTTACTAAAATACGGAAAGAAAAAAAAAAAAGAAAAAAAGAAAAAAGAAAAACCAGAGATACCTGAAATTCCCTTGGCTCAGTCTGCAAGAGGATCAACCTGGATCAATTACAGAAAAAACCTTGTGGTACCAAAGATTTATGTCTATTTTAAAAAATTCATTCATTCATTCATTCATTCATTCATTCAAGAAACCTTTACTGAGTGCCAAGGGCAAATACGGTGCTGTTCTAGGTGTTGGAGACCAAGCTGGAATCACTAAGTGCATCACTAGTGCATCTGTCTTAACCCACAAACTACAAAGCAATAGGAAGCTGCACAAACCAAAAACTCTGACAACTCAAAAAGGTGATGGTAAAAAAAAAAAAAAAAAAGCTGATGGTATCCTTGATATCCAGTATTTTTTCTCTTCATGCTCATTTTCATGATCAGTTTGTCAGCACTGCTTAACTTATCTA